TATCATGCCCACAAAATAATATCTTGAGCACACCTAATGTTTGAGCAACAAATACTGTCTCAGTATAAACCTTGCTTTAGGCATGGTGGAAGGTGCCATAAAGCACTACGATTTGCCTGCAAAAAAATTCTTCTGCAGACTAAAATTTCTGAATACTACCTTTTTTCAAAATGTTGTTACTGTGTTCAGTTATAAGTCAATTCATTCCATTTTTATTTATGTAAAATGAAAAGAGAAATAAGTCATCATTAAATTACATTACTCTATGTATTATGATTTTAAAGATTATTGTGATTATTTAGTAACCTGTCTCCTGGTTACTGAAGATGAAAGTTTCCTTTCAACTTTGAGACCCGGGTATACCTAATCAAATGTGTGTAGTCGGTAATCCTGTTTACTGTAAATTAGTTAAAGACAAAAGAAATATTAGAAATCAGAGGTGGCCATTTGGATCATCTAGCTTATTTGGTGACAACCTACACTTACGTTATTTATATTCGGATTGTGGGGTACTACTCAGTCATGTTACACTTCAGTAATTTTTAAGAATATTGTACTCTTTGGTTTTATACAATGTTTTACTGACATTGGTGTTAGTGGGGCCAGCAGGGGGTGCTCACCCTGTAGTCCATGTGGGTCCTAGTGCCCCAGTATAGTGATGGGGACACTATACTGTGAACTGGCGCCGTCCTTCGGATGAGACGTAAAAGCGAGGTCCTGACTCTCTGTGGTCATTAAAAATCCCAGGGCGTTTCTCGAAAAGAGTAGGGGTGTAACCCCAGCGTCCTGGCCAAATTTCCCATTGGCCCTTACCAATCATGGCCTCCTAATAATCCCCCTCTCTGAACTGGCTACATTACTCTGCTCTCCTCCCCACTGAGAGCTGGTGTGTGGTGAAATTCTGGCGCACTATGGCTGCCGTCGCATCATCCAGGTGGGGCTGCACACTGGTGGTGGAGGGGATCCCCATTACCTGTAAAGCGCTTTGAGTGGAGTGTCCAGAAAAGAGCTATATAAGTGTAAGCAATTATTATTATGATTATACTGTAAAATGAAAAATATACATTTCTTATTATTAGGCAGACCTAAAGGTTGAGCTACAATAACTTTGCAACTGTGTAAGCTTACATGGTTTATTTTCAATCCAACAATGTGATTCACATGTTCATTGTGTACTTTATCAGTAACAAATGACATACTGTACAGCTTTCAGTGTTCCTTCATTCATGCCTTCACATTCATTTTCTGCGTGTGGGATTGCAATTAGTGTTAAGCTTCTTTGTACATTTTATAATAAATATGTATGGGACGATGCTCAATTTCAAGTTTTTTTTTATAATTGGAGTGTATGTATGAAAGATTTGAAATGTGCAATTTAAAATATTTTTATTGTGATGTTAATCTGTTCATGCAATAATAACGAGTGAGTCATCTTTTTATACAAAATTTGTTTGCATGCATAGGATCAGAGTTTCCACATAGTGGGCACAATTCAATTGTTTGTGATTTAAGTAGAAATAAAGCCTTTCTGAGAATTTAATGCAGCCAAGCCATTGCTAATTGTTAGAGAGGGTAAGAGCTAAAATGTAACTCTTTAGGATACTTTATCCTTTAACAAGCCTAACTTCTCCTGCATCATGTCAGCTTGAAAAAGAGGGGAAAATTCTCTAGTGAGAATTGATAAAAAAAAATCATTTTTTATTACTACACACAACAGCTGAAGTTAAAACTGCACATAACTTGATAACGTAATAACCTTTAGCATTTGGTTACCCGCAAAAAGGAATCCTACCCTCTTTCCCTGACAGGAAGGGGTGAAAGGGAAGAGCAGGCAGCAAGACTTCACCCAACAAAAGGACACTGACCACATTCACATTCCCAGCTTTGCACAGAGATAGAAAACTCCTTCCTTCATTTTGAGTAGATGTGCATGTACAGCACCATTCTTGAGGGGAAACCTAAAATCGCACTAATGTCAATGCAGACTCCTGTTGTGCAATCTCAATAGATCTGCACAACAAGCAGGTGGAGCAGAGCTCATCTGTTCATCAGATACAGATGAAACCCCATAAGGTGAAAATTCAAGGAAATTAGATGCACTATAGGACACCTTAGATGTTAAGAAAAGAAATGCATTGAACTGTGAGAAATCCGTATTAATCAGGGGAATCAGAATGCAGTGAACATCAGTTTCTTTCCGATGAATGAAAAGTTTAATTAGAAGTTTAATGAAATTAAGCTACGAAAAAGCTGTTTTGCTTCTTGAAGATGTCTATTTCTGAATTAATTTCTTGCTCAGACACCATCTTAAAAACAAATTACCAGTTGAATATAAAACAGCTTTGTCATTTATGTTGCTGAGACCTCTTGTGTGACTGGAAACTCATTTTAAGTATAAGAATAACATTCATATTACATTAGTTAAACGTGGATTTCCCCTTCATTTGCCTTGACACAACAATAATTCTTATTATACAATAAAAATTCAATTTCTATTTGAGCCAATGTATTATACTTTACCTGGGACTTATTATTACCAGATTCACATTTGATCCTATCTTTCCTTACCTATGTGACGTAAAGTGTATGTAATACCATAAGAGAAATATGTTCCTTCAACACTGATTCTCTTTAAATTCCATAAGAACTCAGACTGTTGCTGTAACTACAGCAGGTGCTCCACAGAATATGAGGTGCAAGTGGAGATGAAATATTCGTACAGCAGTGTAGACTGAGAACTAAGTTATTCTGCTGCTCCTGCTGATAAAAGAGGCACGATTGTAAATGGAAAATCAAAGTGGTTTTGAAAATATTCCTTTCAGGGCTTTAGGAACCCAAGGTTTGTATTTAAAAAAAAAATAAATGGATTTCCTCCAACTGTCTTTCTTCTTTCATTATCAGTTCTATATTTTTTGGCTTATTAACAATGACAGGTTTATAACTTAGGCTGAATTTACCCGTGAGTGTCCTTATTAATTTATAGCATGATGAACAACCACCAATTTATTACGTATTTTCAGGAATCTTGGCTGCTTGCTTTACTGATGCCCCTGTATTCCATCTCTGTTTCACTCGCTTCAAAAATCTTGTGTTTACCATTTTTATTTTGACATTCCTTTAAAAGAAAACTCATTAAAGGTGGGAAACGGAGACCCTTAAACATCGTCGTAATTATAATGCATGCCATGCTTTCAATATTGTGAGATTTAACATTTTCATTCTGTTAGTGGTGTCGAAAGTTCATATTTTGGTAAACATTAAAAGTAATTCAGTGTTTTAAAAAAACATTTTAGGTTCTTTTCATTTCACCTTATTGTTTTTCAGATTTATTCACTCCAAAATTATTAATCAGCCCAGCTTGTCACTGGAACCTCGTTCCCACATGGGCTGAATGAGGACCTGTTTGCACATAATTACATATTTAATCACTGATTCTAGAGTATTTTTAGTTATTTTATCTAAAGATTGTTTTCAGAGAGATCTGATGGATATCTGTTAATTTTTAAAAGCTATGCCAAAGCTTTCAATGTGTCTTTCACTGTGTTTCCATTCCAAGATGCTTAAAACTAAAAGAAACTAATTTCTTGTTATAAATCTTTAATATATCCTATGAAATGATTAGTAGGGTAAGATAATAAAGATCACTTCCAATGTAGAGTATTTCGAAAGCGTTTTTCATGACGTCTATGCAAATCAAAGTGCCCAACCCAGGACACTATGATGACCTTAAACATAATGAAAAAGTAATACTAGTCAATAAAACCAAAGAGAAACACATAAAGATACAACCATAAAGAGTAAATTAAAAACATATGGTTGAGAACCACAAGCAATAAGCCCACCTCTGCTCTATCAACTCTATTTGTCCCGGAGTTGCACCTAATAAAGTTGTAAACAAAATTATATATTTTTCATTGTTATGAATCATGGGAATCATGAGCTTGCCAGCACTGCAGATTTAAACCAGCAAACAGATGACTTATTAGTACAAGTTCATTGTTATTCATCACTTAGAAAGAATGAGTATAACCATCTGATGTCTGGAACGGATTAACAGTTACGCTGTTGAAGCACATTCTGCCTATTAGTGTTTATTGATGCAGATGCTTAAGCATAACACTCTCAAAACTTGCTTCAAGCATTTAAATAACCTCTCCAACAGGAGCAAGGATTCTTCATTAAAACTGTACAAAACATAAAGATGATTTTAAAATAATTAACTACATTAAACTTAGAAATGCAGAACATTTAAAATGCTGAATATTTATAAATGCACATAGGGTCCTGAGCTAACGAAAGCAACTGTTTACACTATACAAAATAGCATTTTAAACACTCCATATAATTCACTCCATATTATGTGAGACCAGTATGAATTTCTTTATTGCACTGAATCCAAGCATACGATTTGATTAAAATATAAATATATGTATAGTATATGCAGTTTTAGTTATTATTACACCATAGCGTGTAGTAGTTCTAACTAAGACATTGATTGAATGCTCTTCTTAAGAGAGTTTAAAGAGTTTGGTGTCACAAAATTGAATATTTAAAATAAATTAACATCAATTATGAGCTTGCCACGTTTCCGTCACTTCTTATTTAAATGAATTTGAAGAAATTAAATCAATTGTATATAACGCAGATTATACTCATGATTTTACAAACATTATTTAAGCTTCCATAAAAAAAAATAAAAAAAGTTAAAATTGTATTAATATACAACATTTAAGTAAATGTTTTTTTTTTCACTGCCAGGACAGAAAATGAAGCAATTTGGATCAACTCATAGGTGGAACAATTGATATACAGGTATAGGCTGCTGAACATGAACATTTAAAAATACCAAATTGCGTGTTTTTACCCAAATAGCTAAAAATAAAGCAACAGGTAAATGATTTTCATTCTTCTTTATTTTTTGGTTCCAAGCTAATATACATCAATGTACGTCATACCCCAGACAACTGTTTTTTCCAGTTCAAAAGGACATCTGTACTAACCTTCATAGATCGCTTTAAACCCTTGAGAACCAATGCTGTCATCAGACTGGAGATGAAGCCACATCTGGTTGCTCATACTCACTATTAAGTCAGGCACACTCGTACCTGAGAGACTTGAGACAAAAATACAAAAATGAATACAACTTGCACACTATATTATTCACTAAGCAACAGATCAAATACTAATTAAGCCCAAAAATAATCTTCTTTTAGAGAAAGGGGGTCATTAAATTAGTCTGGTTTACGTGATGAGCCATTATTGTATTCCTTCTGAACAATAAATCTGATTGTAAACATTTGTCAGTTGATGAAACTTCAATTACTGATATTTTCGGCTAATATCAGATTACACTGAAGTGAATACTAATGTGCAGTGTGTTATGAAAGGCAGATTCTGCTTTCAAATTAAGTTGAATTTATAGTGAACTTCTTCTTATTACCCACACCTTTGAACACCATTTTAAAAATCTCTTAAAAACCCACCATTTTAACAAAAATGAAGATGTGACGGCTCTCACATTAGAATTCATGAAACCTTTTGAGACTGAACATTGATATCAAATTGACTGCCGTGGATTATTTAGAGGGTACTTACACATAGAGCACTCTGCGAGCATCTCCGATTTTCCCACCATCTCCCACAGTTAAGGTATCATAGCCTCTCTCAAGATCAAATTCTTCAAAAGCCAGTTTGATGACCTGTTAAAAACAGATGCATTCTTTGATGAGGCATAAGAGTACAGAATTAAATCAGTCAGGATGTCAAATAAAAATATGCAAATTTAAGAAAACTACAACATTCTCCAAACATATCTTGTACCAGACACAAAAGCAGTACCAAATCGCATCAATACCAAACTCTTTGATTGATATTTCATTCAGTGGCATTAAGTAAAATAAAAATAATTACCAGGTATATTCTAAAATCTAAAATGAATTTAAATAAATAATTCCATGCAGGATAGAGCTAATAAAACTGTTGATTTGCATTAAGAAGGGTTTAATAGGAAATAAGCCATGTAAAACACAGTATATTTAAGGCAGATTTCACTTTCACATATCAGTGGCAGATACAATGCAAATCTTGCAAAAACATTGACTAGAATCTTTGCTCCTACAGGGCTCTAGGCTAACTTTAATTAAAAGTCAAGCTAAAAAGATGGATGAGCACAAAAAGTGTTCTAAAAGTTTGAAATGAATTGTTAATCATCTCTTAAAATACTGTACTTTTGCATTGTAAACTTTTTGCTTCAACAAAATTATACTATTCAACATTTAAAAAAATATTTTCAGAGTTACATTGCTATCAGAGTGGGATCAATAATAGCACATCTTTACATGAGTTCTGACTAACAGCTGCCAGAGGGGTGAATTGGACTGGCAGGGCATGCCGAACTCTAGGAGACAGCAGAAGTTGGCCACTAGTATCTAGATTTATGTGCCAGTGAGCAGATGGTGGAGGTAACCACAGAAGAGCCCCTACCATCAATAGAGTAACTCCTGAGCCAGGTCACCATGGTTAAGAAATCCAGGCAAGATATCTGCCTGAGTGCATTCAATGGGACTGAACCCTTGGAAACCGTCTGGATCCAGTTTGAACCCCTGGTACTCGAGTGTCGTTTGGTAAGAATGGAGCTTTATATGCAGTGTGACCAGGGGCTGGCCAATCGGGGGAGACGCAAGAATGAACATCTGAGGTGATTTGCAGCACATGAGCAGCGTTTCACCAAGAAAAGTCAGGCTTTGAGGGTAGCAGAAGCAAAGCAGTAACTTGTAGTGAGAACATTCCTACAGTTACTGGCCTGTCTTGATCTTTCTCAGCAAGTTGCCTTGTTAAAGTTCACCTGTTTGGATCAAGCCCTGGAGAAAGCCCTCTTAGAAAAGGCTGTCATTTCTGAGGATGGAGCCATAGGGTGCAGGCTGCAGTGGCACAAGAGGAGGCAGCAAATTGAGTAGATCTTCCAGGTCTGAGGACGGTTTGGTCATTTGGTCATATAATCTCTACATGTTCCATTTTCATTGGGAGTGAGGGGTTTATTGTTTTATAGTTGAATTAAAAAGGTGACCAAATGTCTTTAGATTGTCTAGCCACACATGCACGTGAATTGAAATCCAGTGCTGAACAAGTATAATTGTACATGCAGGTAGATTAATTGGCATCAGTAAAGCTTGTCCCTGGTTTATGTGTGTCCTGTGATGGACTAATGTCCTGGTCAGGGTGTGTCCTGCCTTTCCCACAATGCTTCCTGGAATAGACTGCATGCCACCATGACCCTGATCTGAATAAGTGGTTATTGAAAGAGATGATCGGGAACAAAAGTAACAGAATTCAATTTACAAATTTGGAACATGATGGAAACATATTGGAATTGAGAACTTAACTAATGTTACGCTCAAAGTAAAACTGACTTTTGTATTGTTATTTTGTAAATTTCTATTTCTTAGGTTTATTATATAAGTATGCATCAAACATAGGAATATTAGAAATTTTGCAGATACGATTAAGCCATTTAGTCCATCTAGAGTAGCTTTAAATTCACATCCACATCACTATTGATCTCTCCTTTTAAAACATTTATTTTGATTTAAATGAAAATACTCTGCAAGGCTCTACTGTGGTAGGTCAAAACATAAAATATTCTTTATCTGCAATAGATTGTAGAATGCAAGAACAAAGTAGCACTGTAAGACATAAGTACACAGAAGAAGGAATATTTATTTCATTTGACACAAATGAAAAAAGTCAGCAGTTAAAAGAAAATTGAATTTCACTAGAAACCGCTAGGAGAGAAGTAATAAAGCTTAATTAGGATGGTCCCATTATCAACTTCCTCACATTTTCTTAATTGGGTCATTATGGAGTCATTACCTTCATCTGCTAATTTTTTTTACACGCTATGCCCAGGGACAATTGTCTCTGCAGGTATAAATGACCAAGTTCGAGGGCAGAGAAAAAATGTTGATTGTTCCTTTTAGGATCAGTGACCCCAACTGCTTTGGCCTGCATCTCCAAATATGTAGTAACTTACAAGTCAAAGAGGAATACTGTACCTTTTTGTTGGTTTCAACAGAATGAGACTCAATACGAAAGCATAATTAATCCACCTGAATTAGGCACTATTGAAGGTGCATTTGTACAGCCTAACACACCTGTGCATAGAATAAAATAAGCTCAGATTTACAGAGAGATCATTTCCCATTAGTTATCTTATCATGCTTGACAAGTCTGAATTTGACTTGTCAGCTCAAATATAGGCCTGTGATTAGCATTTGAAGCAGTTTAGAAAGATTTTTTAAGAAGTACTGTATGCTGTTATGTTGAACATATAAATCAAAATAATTGTTTGAGAACTTGGAAAACATTAACCTGGGCATAATGAAGAAGGTTGTTATGAAACATACTCACATGTTTAAACAATTTGATTTCTGTATTCCTAGCTGCCAACAAGAATGATCAGAAACTTGTTGTAAATATTGATGAAATTACTGACTTTAGAATTTCAAATAGGTAATTCTTCAGTAAAATGTCAAGAGCCTTTTATTTACAAAATTGCATTATGGACCTTCTACAGCTAGTGTAGTAATGGTAAGGGATAATAAAATCAAGAATGATCACTGGACCAATGGTTTCTACACTCATTTCTTATACAAATACTGTATAAATATGAAAGTCTTCAGTTAAATGACCAGCAAGTTCTCAAATACCGAAGAAAATTAGGGTGTATGTATATATATAATTTTTTTAATGTTAAATTTTATTCAGCTAAGTATACACACAACATCCACTGGTTTTCAATAATGATATTATTCAATAATGATATTATTCACAGTGAACTGGCACCTAACACAACAAGCACAGGGCATTACTAGGCAAGCCAACGTCCAGGATGAGACACCAGTCGTTTGCAGGGCACATCCACTCGCTCAGACATGGGGGCTTTTTAATAGTACCAGTTACCTGGACTGTATGTCTTTGTATCAGTCGATACATCAGACAGGAGGGATTGGTTAGACTGAAACTCAGGTCACTAAACATGTGAAGCAACAGCACTACCCACTGTGCAAATACTATAAACTATATAAAAGTCAAAATGAAGACTTGATCATCTCAACCACTCAGATTTGAAGTATAGATGGCATTATATAACGATAATACTATGGGATATGGACACAACAATAACATCATCATAAAATATACAAATAAGCAAAATTTGATTTGATTCAATTTGATGACAAATACAGGACCTACAGAAACGGTAAGCTTGATGTTTTGAATTTTTGAAAATATTTTGATATTCCGGTGTTTGTACTGCATTTGAAAATGTATGTGAAGTTGAGAAGAGTGCAGAATAATCAATCGACAGCTGTGGAGAAAAGCAATAAAACGTGAAAGAGCCAAATGATAAAAAGAAGAAGATGCTACTTGGCTTGCGTGATATTTTAGTGGAAAGACAAGTATATAAGTACAGGCTCCACAATGCAGTCAACCGTTAAAACAAAAATATTCTAAACATTTGTATATATTTAATGAACATGAAAACATAAAAGTTCAGTTCATAATACTACAAATGCTAACTGCAGTGCATGGTGTTTGCCCTTGGCTTTGGTTAAATGGTCCTGCTTTTAGTTTGGGTCATTGTACTGTTGCAGCCGGTACTTATCACCCAATGGTTTGCAATGACTGTTGTGCGGTGTTTTTGTGACGTGCTGTGTTGTAATGAATGCCGACGTTTTCACAAAGGTACGGGGAATCTTGCACTACTGTCATACATATTTCAAGCACCCTCTGACAAAGCAATTGACATTTGTAGTTCTCATTTACCTGCTTTTGGACACAAAGGTTGTAGACACACACTCTTACACATATACCCTGTGCTGAATGATAGTTTCCATTTTAGGAGTGGACATATAAAGTATTTGTCCTCCCGTCATTTGCACACCGTACTCATGTATTCAGTACAAAATCAATTTAGTCGAATAAAGCTGACTAACTAGGTAATGATTTATTTTTAAAAGGCATATTAACTTAAGTACCGCAGCCCTCAGCAGGAGAAGAGGAGTGAAAATGGATGGAGGGATATTAACTTAAGTGGTTTAGCTTGAATATGGAAAACAAAACAGGATGCACACACTATCCAATTCTTTGAAAGGTCAATAAAAGTTTGAACAGTCTGTTTCTGTTTCTCACTGTCACTTAATCTTGTGGACAGCCTGTTGGAAGGCAGAACAGAGCTTCACAATACAAGAATGCTGAATGAAGATTAGGTGCCTCCAGCAAAGGCTGGAATATGCAGCTGAAGCGTTAGAATATTCTGCTGGGAAAGATGTTGACAAATAAGTATTATTCATTAAACAGAGCAACTTTGTGGTAAGCTGGATTGCGGCCACAGCCAAAATAATTTCTCATTCATGTGATGAAGACGAATATGTGACATGGCACAGAGCAAACTGGCATATCTCACTGCAGTAGCTCTTTTCCATTGTGGCCTACAAACAAACAAATTGAACGGGTTTTTTACCTGCTTTATTTAAACAGTTATATGTAAAAAGACACTAATAAGGTTATGTTGTCAGTCTTGGCCATTCATTAATTTAAAGATTGTCAATTTGATCAGTTTCATATTTTATATTTGCAGTAAACATGCATTCAAGTATTGTATTCGTGTGTCACAGCTGAGCTACATAGCACTGGCCTTGAT